GCTCTCTATAGTATAGAGCCGCGGTTCTCAACCTTCCTTTTATACAGTTCCTCGTGTCGTGGTGACGTCCAACCACAAAATTATTGTTGTTGCTGCTTCATAGCTGTCCTTTTGCTATGAATCAGAATGTAAACATCTGATACACAGGATATCTGATACGTGGCCCACAAAGGGGTCACGACCCACAAGTTGAGAACCACTGGTATAGAGTATAGCATCTATACTATAAGGAGTATAGTGTTCACCTTTGCGAGCTTCATTTCTCCCATCCATAAATAGGACTACTCAGTGGCAACTCCCAAAGGGACATGCTGGTTGTCACAGTGGAGGCTGGTGGCATCTGGTCAGCAGAAGCCGGGGTGCTGCTTGGCATCCTGCCGTATCCTGCTTGGCCCCCACATCATGGGACTCAAACATCCCAGTCACGCAGGGCTGGGTCTATCATCCTAGCCAGTCAGGTGTTGGAGGCAGGAGGACCACGAGCTCAAAGCCAGCCTAGGCAACTTAGCCATAACCCATCTCGAGAAGCAAGCAAAGAAATCAGTTCAAATGTCCAAGTGCCAAAGGCAGAAACACCTTGACTGATACCTGTGCACCTTCTCAGAGGTTCTTACCACGGTCATCATCGTCATCAGAAAATCATGACATGCTCATGAGCACTGTGAAAAGCTAACAGGTTCTCTTCACCCAGGCCGGCCTTGAACTCACTACATAGATGACCTTGAACTTCTGATTCTTTTGCCTCCACCTCACTGTGCCTGGTTTGTGCAATGCTGGGTATTGAACCCCGGGGCTTCGTGCAGGCCAGGCAAGTACTTTACCAACTGGAAAATGTCCCCAGCCCAAAGTGGAACTTTTTTTTTTTTTCAAACCTCCATTTCCTGACACTGACCTCATGCGAGCCACTGGGCCGATTCACTATCCAGGTGAGCACACAGATGTCACACACTTGCTCCAGGGACCAAAGCCATAAGAGGGTCCCCACTTCTCCTGCCCAAGGCCAGGGGCGGCAAGGTATGCGGTGGGCAGGCAGACTCACGGTGTGCTGCCGGCCTGGCGTGGAGCCCCAGCCGGGGGGGCTGACCAGCTGGCCGGGGTCCTGAGTGGGGGCCCAGCTGCCCAGCTCGAGCTCTGGCCCTCACTCTCTTCCCGGCTGCTCCAGGAGCGGGGAATTAACGAGAAGGCGGTCTGCGCACCTCCCGGGCTCATTAGCCCCTGGGTCTCATTCTCCACCAAAAGCTAGAGTTCTGCTTGTGGCCTCACGCTCCACTGCTGGGTCTGTGATTGTGGCCAGCCGTTCTCCTGCGTCCCACCGGGGGCCACTCCTCCCCATCTGCTCCCTGCTCACAACCCTGGGCCTTTGTCTTCCCCTTCTCCACCTCCCACCTCCCTCCGGCTGCCCCTCTCCATTGCTGCCATCGCCCCTTCGCTCCTCTTGGCAGAGGCCACTAGACCCTGCCGGCTCCTTTCAGGGCCCGAGTCCCAAGCCCCTCCTGTCCCTCATCGCAAAGGGGGAAGGAAAGAAAGAAAGAAAAAAAAAAAAAAACAAGACGCAGACGATTTCTGGACACAGGACGCAAAATGAGACCTTTATCGTGGTCACTCTTACAGATGTGAAAACTGAGGACCCCCCCCCCCCCCCCCCCCGACAAGAGAAGGCTTCCCTGAAAGTCAAGAGCATGTTGGAGAAGGGCTGGAGGTGGGGCTCTTGCCTGGGGGCTTGCCTAGGATTCATGAGGCCCTGGATTCATTCCTCAGCACCCCCTAAACCAGGTGTGGTAGCCCATGCCTGTAATCCCAACACTCAGAAGTTCAAAGACATAGGCCAGCCTGGGCTACACGAGGTCAAGTTAGAGCATCAAAAACACACTTTTCAACTAAATATCTGAGGAGTGCCCAATGGGTTCCACGCCCTGACTCAACGGTGGGAACACCACGTGAGCCAGACCTCTAGCGTGAGGGAGGGACATCAGAAGGCACTGGGCCCAGGGACAAGTTTGGGCCAAGACTGGAGGTCCCCGCCTGCTCCAGTGTCTGCCTGCTCCCTTTCAGCCCATCTCAAGCCCCGGCCCCTGTCCCGGGGGAGCCTCCTTTCTAGACCCTGGACCACACACAGGTTGGGCAGTGAATGTCTTTGCTGTCTCCAGCCTTGTGGTCCCAGTTGCAGAAGTTCAGGTCTGCCTTGTAAGGAACAAGACACGTAAGTGAACGGGCACTACTGGGTTTCAATAAAGCTTTATTTACAAAGTGGGCCCTGAGCTGAGTTTGGCCCTCAGGGGTCCACTTACTGACTCCTCTCCTACTTCTCTTCATTTGGGACTGTCTCCACCTAGGTTGGGTTTCTTTCCTTGTGGGCTCTTTTTTTCTTTAACTGGGCAGCCCCAGAGACTTCTTTAGTTTTCATTGAATAAGATGGGAGCCAGAGGAGAAAACAGGATGCTGCCTTTAGATCAGAGGCCCAGGTGGCCAGCCTACGGCCCACCAGCCTGAGTCTACTCTAGATTCCTACCCCGGGTTAGGGTGCAGAGACCTGATAAACACCCCTCCCATCTGCATCCAGGGCTGAAATACCAGAGCCCAGTGATAAGACCTTGAGCTGAAAACCCATGGGATGGCTGCATTTCTTGGTCTCGGCTTTGTGCCTCCGTTTCCCCAGGGTTAACAGGAGGTTAAGACTGGGAGCAGCGTCCATTGGATGGTCTGTTTGCCCCCATAGAGAGGTGGGAACATCCATCCTTAATGCCTGCAGAGCACAGCTTCTGCACACGAGCTCCCTACGCCAGGGGTACCATCGGAGAAGGGCATCAGCGGTCAGGGAGTCCATCTTACTCCTTGGTTGCTGAAGACCTCAGGTGCCACTCGAATCTCTATTGCCTCCTTTGAGATAGGAGCAACCGTATCTTCGGCCACTGCGTTTGAAATCCCCAGTACATCCTAGAACTGTGACACACAGGCAATAAACCACTGTGACCATGTCACTTATCAAAATCCTCCAGGTGGGAGGCTGAGAAGAAATACATGCTTGTTTCCATTTGGCAGATGACTGTGGCAAGGTGTGCCTGTGAGAGGCATGCTGCCCGAGGCCCTGTGGCCTGAGGACTGTAGTGGTAGCTTGTGAAGAGTCTCAGCTGTCAGGATTCCCAAGCCTCAGCAAGGGCTCCTATTGGAGGAAGTTGGTTCCCCAGGCTTTGAACATCTGCAGGGACTTGCTTCGGCCGGGTGCGTGGACCAGGTTCCTTTCTGGTCAACCAGGTCATGTCTGAAAAGTGAAGCCAGCTCCAGAGCTCCCTAAGAGAAAGCCTAGAGCACCACCATCCACCATCCAGCCCCGCTTCTCGCTCTGCCTAACCTGCCCAACTGCCCTGCTTTTTCCTCCAAGAGTTCACTGGAGAGCACAGCCCATTAAGGCACCTGCTGCTGCAGGTCCGTCTCAGGGGCTGTTTGCAGGGGAAGCTGTCTTGACATGCCCGGGTGGCCAGCCTGGGAACCCGCGCCTGGCCATGTATATATATCGTTCCTAGCGTGCTGGTCCCGTCACATCGGGAGAGTAAGGACAGGAATCCGAAGGAAGCGCTTTCGCTGGGTGTATCATCCTTGCCCGCTCTGCATTTTCTTCGCTCCGATGAGCCTCACATCCAGACAGCCTTAACACTGAAGAACCCCAACTTGATGACCGCTGAGATGTACAATTCTGGAATGTACAACCCACCGAGCCTGGGGTTCGCTGGGTCTGGGGACACGGGAGAATGGGCACTTCCGAATTCCAAGGGACAGAGTTGCTGCTGGCACCGGGGCTGCGCTTGGAGAACTGGAAGCCAAGTGACTGAGGGCACAAGGTCAACATTCAAAGACACCTGTTCTAAAACCCTGATAACATCTGTTGCATGCTGTGTGATCTTAGGGAAGTTACCAAGCCTCTCTGAACCTCCATTTCATTGGGTAGGAAGTGGATGGAGGGCTGAAATGGAAGATCAGAAGTTGAAAGGCTCCCTGCTTCGGCAGTCAAGTGACTCACAATATGTGACCTCTATACTTAGATGGCCACACACACTGCACAAGCTTTAGCTCATTACAACCTCCGTGAGTAGTGACGATTAATGTGTTATCTTTAACCAAGGCTGCCTGTTGCTCTCAGCCTCCCTGTCTCATTGTGGGATGGTCCCCCATCTCCACACACTCTTTCTTTCTTATTTATTTACTTGTTTGTTTGTTTGTTTATTTATTTTAGGCAAGGTCTTGTTATGAAACCCTAACTGGCTTTGCCGTGGATCTCGCTCTGTAGACCAGGCTGGCCTCGAACTCACACAGATCCGCCTGCCTCAGCCTTCTGAGTGCTGGGCTTTAAAGGCACGGGGTTACCACGGCCAGCATTTCCCGCCATTTTTGAGAGGAACAAACCGAGAGGCATGACCTTGCTGAAGGTCAGATGCCCAACCTACACTCCGTCCTCGCCTCGGCTCTCTATCCCAGTCCCTACGCTATCTCCCCTCCCAGGGCTCCGTGGGCCTCTCTGGACAGACATCACCCCAAACAAGGAGAGAATAAAGAGCTTCCCGTCCACACCAGAAGAAAAACAAACCCCCACCACCCTCCATTGCCCGCGAAGGCGATGATGGATCTCTGTTATTGCTGGCGTTGGAATCACTACCAGGGGAAATAGATCAAGGTACACTTTGCTGGCGAGAGCTCTCTGGATGTCACAGACAGGGCTGCAGGGGAAAGCCGCCCGCCCGCCTTTCTCTTCCCATGCTCCTGGCCTCCCCTGAATAGCCGACGTGGCCGGGCAGGCTCAAACGGGGCACAAGGCAGGGGTCCCTGGATGGAGGAGACCCCAATGGGTCTATCGGTTGGGGGGCGGGAGCTCTTGTCAGCTTTGCCCTCCTCCCTCCCATTCTCCGGGTCCATTTCTTCCGAAGTACCTCATCGGACCCTGCCCTCCCTCCCCTTGCTTGTAACGATCGAGAAGGGGCAGCCTTGGGTGAGGAGGGTCCAAAACCAAGTGTCTTCTACTGAGGTTATATTTGGAGTGGGTCTAGAAAGCAATCACCCCATCCCGTATCCTCTGGGGCCGTTTTGGCTCTCAACTCCCAGCTCCGCTCTTCCCGTAAGGGGTCAATATGGAACATCTGGGGCTCGAAGCCCAGTGGAGGACATCAGAAGGGGCGGGGGCTTCCGTTTGTGGACGCTGCCGCCATGTCGGTAGATTCACAGTGGTATTGACGGATCCGCCGTGGGTTCCTGGCTTTGCCTAATGCTTGGCCCGAGGCTGTGTGGCTCTGGCCCCTGCTGAAACCAACCACACACTCCTCTCTCTCCAGCCTCACATCAGGGAGTAGGAGGGACAAGAGGTTTTACACAGTTTAAAGCCAGGGCACACACACACACATGTCACCCACTGAGTGACCACTGGGCAAGCCGTTAAAGCTGCTGCGAGCCTTATTCTTTCCATCTGCAAAATGGGGTCATCTTGCCTATGCCCAAAGAGTGAAAGTAGATTAAATGATAATAATCATAATCATACCATTAAATGCCTGGAGGAGTCAATGAGAGCTGGGCTGGGCTGCCACTATTTTGATTTTATGTGGACTCGTTCGTTACCTTCACCGGAAGGTTCCAAGGACTGGGGAGGCAGCCCGGTTGGTAGATGGCTTGCCTATGTGCATGAAGCTCTGGGTTCCATCCCCAGCACAGCATAAGTGAGCATGGCGGATCATGCCTGTCATCCCAGCACTCTGGGGGTGGAGGCAAAGAGGTTTGGAAGTTCAAGTCCATCCTCTGCTACACAGCAAGTCTGAGGGTAGCCTGGGCTATGTGAGACTCCATCTTTACAAAAGAAAAATCCAAACACCCGGAGGTGCCACTCTTGCCCGCGTTTTACAGAAACTGAGGCACAGAGTGCCCGCTGCTCAGTACCACAAGGCCCTCCCTTCCTCCTTGCCTTGTTCTGTCCGCCCTGCACCACCCCCTCCCTACCACGCCTTCACTGAGACCTAACCAAGCCCCTGTCTTAAATCCAAACGGTCCCCAAGGCCAAAGCTTGACGTCATGCCACCTGACACTCGGGTACTTGACAGAGAGGTTTGTGTCCACCTCTGCTTCATAAGGATCTCTGGTCATTTGTGTGTGGGGACAGATCTGGTCATTTCTGGTCATTTGGGGGGGGCAGTCATATCCATCCTCAGGAGCTGCCACAATTCCCCAGGGCCTTGAGAAAGATGATCCATAGACCCCCATCTCAAAACCTCTGCTTTGGGACAACATGCCCAGAGCCCCTAGCCATCCCCCGACCCTGGCTATCTCAAGCTGCTTTATTTTGTGTTCAGATGGAAGCTTTGTTGCTCCACCTGTACTCCCAGGTAAACTGCAGCCTCTTCTTTTGGGAAAAAAACACTGTTTGGAAAACCTGCCAGAAGTTCCACATCCACCCAGCTGTGTCCTGCTCATTCCCTGCCCACACCTTCCCTGAAGCCCCAATATTCCATTTTGCAGAAAGGATCTTATATTTAGCCAGAATCCAGCCCTGGCTTCTTGGGGTTAGACAGACACGTGGGCTTGGGAACTTAGTAGCTATCCAGGGAAGAATGTAACAGGACCTGCAGGCACCTTGAGGTTGCTCTTGACAGTGGGGAGCGGTCTGACAGATAGGCTTTTCTGGCTATGGCTGCCGAGCAGGAAGACAAGGAACAAGCCTCACAGAGAAAGGCCGAGTGCAGCTCAGGTCATGGTTGTAGGCAGCGTGATCTACAGACAGGAAGAGTTCCTAGAGGTACAGAACACCATTCCTGTTAGAAGTGAAAGCTGCATGGGTGTAGACAGGCTGATGGTGTCCGCTATGGAATGGATGAATGGACACATGGATGGGTGGGTGGGTGGGTGGATGGATGGATGGATGGATGGAAGGGTGGGTGGATGGATGGATGGATGGCTGGGTGGATGACTGGGTGGGTGGGTGGGTGGGTGGATGGCTGGCTGGCTGGCTGGATAGATGGCTGGGTGGGTGGGTGGATGGCTGGGTGGGTGGGTGGATGGATGGCTGGCTGGCTGGCTGGCTGGGTGGGTGGGTGGGTGGGTGGATGAGTGGGTGGGTGGATGGATGGGTGGGTGGGTGGATGGATGGGTGGGTGGGTGGATGGATGGGTGGGTGGGTAGGTGGATGGCATCCTGGGTACCAAACACTGGGCTTGTCTCTGAAGACTTAAAAATAATTTAAATGGCTAACAAACTCATGCCAACAGGAAAGGTACAGGCACACACTCACACAATTGATCACACTGAAATATCCCAGTACATACACCCACAGTTTCCATTATAATCAGCCATGAATGTCTTGAGGGGGGGTGGGTGATGAGTTTCCTCATCGCTTTCCAAACTGCAATCCAGGACTCCTAAGCCCTTAATGTGCTCTGAGGATGAAGACCATTTGGGGCTCAAATCATGTGGAGAATTCGCTGTCGTTACAACAGCAAAGACCTCTGAAAAGGAAGTTGGTTTCAGGTTGTATAACATAATTTGCCAAACACGTTCAGCCTCTAAGATGCAAATTAAGCCCAGTATCATGGAACTGGGCGGGTCACCAGAATGGGATCATTCTGAAGACCTCCCATTCAAACATACTACAACGGAGGCCAGGGTCCACATGCAGATTATCCAATATGGCAGCCCACATTGTGGCCATCCAATATGGCAGCCGCAGTGCTGTGGGAGCAGTTGAGCTGAGGCTAGCGAAATTGGGGAGGGCATTTCTAATTTTCATTCATTTACCTTCGAATTGAAGGCTTGTAGTGAGATTTTCGGACAGTACAGCTTCACCTTTTTTGTCCAACGCCTGAGTCCCACAGTAGGAGAAGTGACTGGCGTGTAGAGCCCTCCACAGACCACAGTCTTCCCATAACAATGGCTGCTGTGTCCTGAGCATTTACTGAAAGCCCAGCGGCGGGCGGGCGCCAATAGTTTGATTTAACCCTTTAACAACAGTGTTGCCTCTCAGTCCATTTTCAAAGTGAAGAATCGAAAAGTGCAGGGAGCACTCAGTGACTTGTTCAAACCTCCATGACCAAGAATTTGTGCCTGGGTCAGTCCGAGCGCCCTCTCTTCCCACAGTCACATGCCCAGGATGGTTTCTACAGCACCCAGAGAACCAGCCTTAGGATCCAGAGAGGGACACCCTTACGCGTCTTACCCTTCCTCAGCGGGCCGTGCCAACCCGTGCATACCACTGACTCTGTATAAGTGTTGGCCTGGACACAGGGGAGGCAGAGGATGGGGAGCTGAGGAAGGCAGGGTGCCCCCCCCCCGAACTCCTTGCCTATTTGGGGCTGGCAGAGGCAGTAAGCAATCATTCACAATGCATCAAGACAAGAGCCCCAAGAAGAGCCACATCCCCCCTGTCACCCAGGCTGGCCTGGTCCACCTGAGCCCCTGACTCCTCCCTCACAAAGAAGTCTGCAGGGCCCTCCCCTGATGCGTGGCACCCTGCTCAGGAGCGAGGGACAAGAGCCCCTGCCTTTCAGCCCTTGCTGAGTCCAGATAAATCTCTTCCTCCTCTCCCTGCGCCTCTGAAAGTGCCCGGTCTAGCTAGGGTTTCTCCCACTTATGCGGCTCATGAATATTTAACAGCATCTGCCGTGGAGGCGATAAAGCCCTACCAATCCTTGACAAATATGTCCTAATCTTTTCAATTTCGGGGTGCAAATATGCCTTCTGAGTCCTGTTTGTCACCTAGATTAATGGCCCAGGGTCCCATAATCCTTTGGTGCTAATTCAAGTGGTGGCTGGCCGGCGTGTGCCTGCTAGGGGGATGCTGGGAAGCACATACACATACACACACACACACACACACACACACACACACACACACACACACGACAGAGTAATTAGTCAAGGGAAGACTTGGAGATTGTGTGTGTGTGTGTGTGTGTGTGTGTGTGTGTGTGTGTGTATACATGCACGTGCCCTTGTTATGTGTATGGTGTTCCTGTGTTTGTGTCTCTGTGTTCACAGGCATTTAGGTGTATGTAAGAGTTATGTATTCCCCGTGTCCATCTGTGTATTCTGTTTATGTGAATGCATACCTGTGAGCCTGGGCTTAAAAGGTGGATGCTGTGTCCATGCCTCCCTCGGTGGGAGGAAGGAGGGAATGAGGAGGTGAACCAGAGTGTGTTCCATCTGATTTCTTCCTCCTGTGTGGGTCTGATGAAGAGAAAAATAGATGTTGGTCACGGGTAGAGAAGACAGAAGGAAATCTTATCTACAGAAAAGATTGCCCACGGAATATGTTCGGCGTGTGTCTGAAAAGCAACCCCTGCACCCCCCACCCTCGGGGGCATGTCAGTTTCAAAGGTTCTGAGTCACTGGCCCTGGGAGAGGCATAAGGTCAGAGATCTGTATGGAAATGTGGATTTTACAGAGAGGAGGCAAAGCCAATCTGTGTTGCCATGGTTTTTGTGTATGTTTTTGTGTGTGAGGGTGTGTTGTTGGAAGACCTTCCAACATGGGTCTAGTGTAGGCACGATCCACAGGAATCTAATCTAATCAAGCATGCTTGTCTGCTTTGCAGGTCCTCAGTTTCCCCCTCCATTTCCCTCCCCTTCTCCCTCCCCACCCCATCTCTCTCCCAGTTCTCTCACCAAACTCCAATATTTCACCAAAACATTGGACCAAGGCCATGTGAGACTGGCCCCTGGTATTCTCAGCACCCGGCTTCCTTCTCCCCCCAGGTCTGTTCTCAGCAGTCCAGTGGGAGCTGGGGAGGAAGGATGTCACAGGATGAAGTCACTTCCTCTCCATCTGCTGTCACTAAGATCTGTCCCACCCACCTGTCAGGGCAGGTGGAATGGGGCGGTGTAGCACGAACCTTCTAACAAGAATGTCTTATTAATAAAAGCAAACATGGATCTACAGGGCAGCCTCATGTAGATGGGGATTAGAAGAAGAGAATGAGGTCCAGAGGGTAAGATGAGACTCAAACCAGGGACCAGTGTGGAAATGCCCACCTTGCAGCGTGAGTTGCCTCCTCCACGGCAAACAGAACTCTGTTCAGACACACAGACCCAGCTCTAGACAGAAACAGGTGCTGTGTATGGGTGACCCTTGCACCAACATGGTAATATCTGCCTCGGTGCACAGCACAGCTTCCTGCCATGGCATTCACACTCAGCCAATCAGAACTGAGGATACTGACATAGAGAAGAGAGCCTCCTACCCCAAGACCTGAAATGAGACTTGCTAAGAACTAAGACAGGGAAAACAGGGCATCGCAGGAGCCGCCTTTGGCAGAGAAAGCAAGGGCTCAGTTCATTATTTTTGTCAGGGAACAGAGCTCTGTGGACAGATGTGCTAACCCCACCCAAGCAAACTGCATAGAGGACCATGAAAGGGAAGGAACACTCAATGGCTGGCAGAATTGGCCTCAGCATCAAAGGAGGCTACCTTTCAGTCCTATCCAAGACCTTGAGCAAGCCATCTCCCTTCTCTGTAGCTCCCTGTGCCAGGATGCAGCTGGGAACCATGGGATGCCGTTGGGATTTACATGCCAGTGCAGGTATGTGATCACATCACTCAGCAAGGGAAGCCACTGGTTATTATTGTCAAAATCATTATCTTCTGGACCCACTGTGGCTGGGTCCAGTCCCACATCACTTTCTACCCTGTGAGACAAAGAGATGTCAAGAGTTGGTGGTAGCTTGAGCAGATGACACCCCTACTGTGACCCAGTCAGTGGGGGAAGCTTATGCTCTCAATAGGAATGTCAGTTCTACATGAGGGAATCTTCCCAGAGTCAAATACAAGACCATCATCCTTGGGCTATGGAGATTGTTTCTTGGAAGCACTCCCCTGCAAGGATCCTGGTTTGTGAATTCAGAACAAATCTTTCCCTCCATGCTTATCCCCAGATCTTAGAACCAAGGAAACCACGGCACTGCTGAGCAAAGGCTGCCTCCCTGAGAGCTGAGAGAAATCATCTTGTCATGAAGTCAAAGGGATCTGCAGTAGCAAGTTGAAAAATTCACACTCCAGGTGTGTGTGTCTCACAAGCTTTTGATAAGAAAACTCTTCCCCACCCCCGTCACAAGAATTTATGAAAGCCAGTCTACAAGCCAGCAAGGATTCCTGTCCTGCCATTCCAGTACCCTCACAAAAAAAGAAGATTCTGTGCATCTTTGTCTTTCATAGACTGTAAGGAAAAACAACATGCTCAGCTTTTTTCTAACGCTAGTCCTTTTTCAACCAGTACTCACCCCGCTCTTGAAGATTCCAACCATCAGATCTATCCATAACCAAATACAGTATATGTTTTTGCTTATTATCAGCTGAAGGACAGCCACAGACACTAAGAGAACTCTGTGGGATACTCAGGGCACCCACTTTGGCTTTTAAGACTATTATAATGAGCATATGAAAGAAAATCAGAACAGGGGTTGGAGATTTAGCTCAGTGGTAGAGAACTCGCCTAGCAAGTGCAAGGCCCTGGGTTCGGTCCTCAGCTCCGGAAAAAGAAAAAGAAAGCCAGAACATTTAAACAACTTGATTATCACTGAAAGCAGCCATCATGTATAAGTATGCTAGCAGTCCACTTCTTAGATGGCTACTTTAAGATGACTACCTCTAAGATGACTGTCTCCAAAATGGCTGTCTCCAAGATGGCTGCCTCTGCCATAGTCCCAGTAGTTCTCCCAAAGTGGGATGGACCTAGTAATTTGGTTCTAATTCATAGACTATAGCAAAAGAGAAAAGTATCATTCCAAGATTCAGTTAAAAAAAAAGCTATTGTTTCTGTTTGTTCTCTTCTCATATCCCTCATTGCTTTGGGGGATACAAACTGCAGTATTAATAGTAATCCTAGATCCATGTAGCAAGAAACAATTGTTCCCAGCCCAAAACTGTGAGGGCCTCCACTAACAGCCACATCAGCAAACATGGAAGTAAGCCTCTCCCTAGTTGATCTTTGACAAGACTTTTATACTAGCTGACACTGACTGGAGCCTATGACCGTCCCTGACCCAGAGGCCCCAACAAAGCTACTTGCAGATTTATGGCTCACAGAAGTTGCGAGAGAATAGATGCTTATTGAAAGCTACTACCTTTATGGTAATCCACTGTACTGTGTTTGAGCACAGACTGCTGTGGGTTCAAATCTTACCCCTACCATTACCCATCTGTGTAAACCTGTACAAATCATGCGTCTCTTGGTGAGTCAATTTCCTTGTCTGTGAAGGGGAAATAATAGGACTTACCACAGGAGATTATAATAAGGGTTAAGTATTTGAATTCATGTAATAAGGGTTAAATATTTGAATTAATGTAACACTTGACATGTAGAGGGCATTCTACAGGAGTTGATGTCACCAACATCATGACCTCTGAAGGCCTCAGAAAACTCAGGTGACTCAAGGGGACAAAATTTCCCATCAAAACCTTGAGAACATGGGACAGATGCACTGCCTACACCATGTCCTTTTATGCAACCCCACTTTCCACCTCCTAAGTTGAAGCACATATTGCCCAGCTGCTGGCACTATGAAAAGTGGAATAGATTTTTTTTTTTTTTTTTGGTTTTTCGAGACAGGGTTTCTCTGTGTAGCTTTGCGCCTTTCCTGGAACTCGCTTTGGAGACCAGGCTGGCCTCGAACTCACAGAGATCCGCCTGCCTCTGCCTCCCGAGTGCTGGGATTAAAGGCGTGCGCCACCACCGCCCGGCTATGGAATAGATTTTTGAGACACCAACTTCATCAATGGGTTAATCCGTTGACTACTCTAGCTGAGTAGGCGATTAGGAGCTGGGGCCCCATAGAAGGAATTAGGTCATTGGTCATTGGGAGTGTGTCTTTGAAGGGTATATTTTTCTTTCCAGTCTGTCTCCCTCTCCTGCCTTAATGTGAGATGCCTCCTCAGCCACACACTCTCACTGCCATGACCCGGCCCCCCCCCCGCCCCCACAGTCATGGGGCCGACAGGTCACAAACTGAGACCTCTGAGGCAGTGAGCTAACATAAACCTTTCTTATTTCAAGTTGACTTCTCTCATGGATACTTTGCACAGTAAGAAGTTAAGCAGCACACAGTTTTGGAACCATCAACTCTCATTTCCAGAGTGTGAAGAACAGTGTGCTCCCATGGAGCACAGCATTTCCCCAACATCCAGCCTCGGTTCCTCATACCTTAGGGTATTATATCCAGACATTGCCGCCACCATTGCGGGTCCTTCCCCCCGGGGCAGGCTAAATCTCTGGACAAGAAACAGAGTCTGTTTCCTCACACCTTGAATTTAGCCTTGATGTGATCGATGCTTATCCATAGAAAGGATGTCATGAGCCAAGTGTGGCAGTGCACACCTGCAACCCCAGCACTCAGGAGACAAAACCATGAAGATCAGAAGTTTAAGGTCATCGTCAGCTACATGGTGAGTTTGAGGCCAGCCTGGGCTACATGAGACCTGGTCTCAAAATATTTTTTTTTAATGTAAAGAGGTCATAAAATTTCCAAGCCCAGATCGTAAAAGGACTATCAGTTCCCACCTTCTTTCTATTTGAAGCCAGATCTCACGTAAGTCTGATTACCCAGAAACAATCATGTTGTGAGGAAGCCCAACCCAGCCACATGGAGATGCATAGAGCCACCTAACATACAAGTGAAGCTTTCCTGGCCTCTCCCCAGTGACCTGGCCACATAGGCACAGCCATGGATTGAAGTACAGGGTAGGTTTGCTAATCATGGAAGAAGGGAACATTTAAACTGACATGTGGGCTCCTCAACAATTGTTAAAACCCTGAAGTGCCACCTGTCATACTGCAGCAGCTGGAGCAAAATTCCTAATCAGATCCCTTGGGGAGCACTGCGTGTGTGTGGGTGCCCCCACCGGAGCCTGATCGAGGGAAAACCACACACCACCCGGGACTGTCAAAAAGGAAGTGAATGCATCTCCAGTTCAAATTTAGCAAATTCAATGGAATGATGAGTAAGGAGAGGTAAAGACAGGTAAAAGAACCTACTGGAAATATCACCAGTGAGGGAGGGACTCTGGAGGCCCCACCCCTTCCTGAGGAGCCTGGGGAACTTGGTGGTTGTCAGTGGAGGAGTCATTTTCTTCCGTGGTGTAGCCACGGTAAGTTGCCCATGCTCATGAGTTCAGCCCAAAGTAAACCCAGTGGGCCACAAAAAATAAAATCAAATAAACAAAGATGTGAGCATAGGAAAGAGAATTATTGGGGGAGAGAAGGGAATCAGCATGAGTGGGAGAGAGATGGGATGGAAGAGTGGGAGAGAAAAGAATTCAAATATGTTATGTCCATGTATAAGACTGACAGAGAATAACAAATACAGATATATAGAAAGATGTGTGTGTGTGTGTGTGTGTGTGTGTGTGTGTGTGTGTGTGTGTGTGTGTGTGTAAAGAAAATAGGTCAGGTGTAGTAGTGTGACTTTAATCCCAGCACTTGGGAGGCAGAGACAGGCAGAACTCTGTGAGTTTGAGGCCAGCCTGGTCTACACAGTGAATTCTAGGACACCTGGGGCTACACAGTGAGACCCTGTCTGAAAAAGAAGAAGAGGGAAATGAAGAAGGAGGAGGAGGAGGAACAACAGAAGCAGGGGAAGCAGAGGAAGAAGAGGAGGAGGGAGGAGGAGGAGAAGAAGAACAAGAACAAGAAAGAAAGAAAAAAAGAGAGAGAAAAAAAAGAAAGAAAGAAAGAGAGAGAGAGAGAAAGAAAGAAAGAAAGAAAGAAAGAAAGAAAGAAAGAAA